TCCTTCCTATTAATCAATTTTGAATGGACAGAATATTTATGCTAAGTAAACGTAATGTTTTGAGACACTGTTTTCAAATTTGGTATTCTTCAAGTGAGCGAATTGATAGAAAATTGTGTATTTTTTATGTCTCAATTATTTACCTTGGTGACTTAATTATTATTCTTTTGTTCTTTTATGATATATAATAGGGACTTAAATTTTAAATATTCTATTCAAATGTTACAATCTTTAATGCATGGGATGGATATATATGTTAAGTGAGAGGGTAAGAGAGATATTCTGAAGTTCTGTTTGCATATTTCAAATATTTTAAATGAGCAAAATGATAAAAAATATTGTGTATGTCGTTAAAATTTCTTTCTTTTAGCTATGCTTAATTTTGAATAAAGAAGGTTCAAGAAGTTATTGATGGCATTCCTTACTTGTAAATGAAATTGTTGAAAAAAGGGAAGTTACAGCTATGTTTCAATAAGAGAATTGTTAACTGCCCTTATAATCAACAACAATCATGCAACGCGTGTGTAATGGAAAGTGACCCCATCGGCGCTCTGATTTTCAAATTGACCACGAACGGTCAGGGCAAAATAACAACAACAACAACAACAACAACAACAACAATAATAATAATAAAATTTTGAAAAAAAAAAAATTACATAAAATGTGGGAGAGTCGACTCTCCCGCATGCGGTATAATCATTGAAGTCCTGGGGGAAGGGACGGCACCGTCGGAGATTGCCATGGACGAAGGCATTTGATTTGGTTGGTCAGTAAATTTACACATGAAGGTATTTAACAGAAACCGCCCCCTCCCTTCCCGCATTAAACTCTACATCAGCAAATTGCAATTGTGCTGCAGCCAAATCAGTCACCGCCAACAGACTCCGCAACTGCAGATCGCCCTTTAATTGTGTTGTTTGTGCAAAATTAGAAATACCATTATTTGCACCACGTCAGGAAGTTGATTAACGTTGATTTATCAATATTTCAAACTGACTTCAGGCTTTTTTGAAATGTGATCGAGATGACTGATAAAGATGGTGAAATCGATTGCGTCCTGCTACAGACTAACGAATATGGCCAACCCCTCTTGAAAGCAATTTCGCACAATCCCCGAATGGTCTCCCATTCGGATAGATGATCCGAGTACTAACTGATCCGCCGTCTAAATATGGCCGACCTTACTGCAAAAGCGACGCCGCTATTTCCATGCTCGCCGTCGCTGCAGAGCTCTAGCAATTAAACCTCGGAGCCGAGATTTAGTACTAGTTACAATACGAATCGTCCAATGTTTGCGACATACAAGAACGTAATTACATCTGACTTATACCACGACTGGCGCTTCCAACAATAGAAAAAACGAACCGAAGAGAATGAAAATACAGACAAACCTGTACGCAAAATACAAGTGCAATTATCCTACTATTTAAAGCCCCAGCCGTGGTATAAATCTCTTGAATGGCGCGTGTGGTGGCGGGGAGATCATCGGAAATCAGCGATATTGCTTTTGAAGTGTGGTCAGCCATAATTAGTCGGAGGATCAGTTAGTCCTCGGATCACCTATTCTGAATGGGCCAATGATAAATTGGCAGCACTCACAACCAAATTTGATATGTAGACTAACAAATTCCATGTTCAAAAATGGCCGACTCACTTGAAAGCCTACCGCGTAATCTCAGCGGGGAATCTTTTCAGTGTCTATTAAGGCATTATGCAGCAAGCTTTCAGGTTGGTCGGCCATATTTGATCAGCAGGATTTGTTAGTCCGCGGATCAAAGTGTTCTGAATGCACACATTAATTGAGGTCTAGAAAAACGTATAGTGCGATAAGAGAAGAAACATGTATAAGGTATTTCTTAACTTTTTAAACTGTAAAAAACTGTATTTTGAGGTAGGCAATTAATAAGATATGTGTTTATTTTATTCACTTAATAATGAAAAAATCAACTCTGCATGCTCATCTACATATGAAACACATATGAAACACTTTTTAAAATCTACAGGGTGAACAGAGCTGCAGCGTTCAATTCAACTGCTGTCAGATTCACAGATAATATTCCCTGACCACAAATAGGTGAGCACAGAAACAGGTAGCTTATATGGCTCAATAAACTGCATGGTACTGCTGTGTTCGATTTCATCAATTTTCCAGCAAAGGGCCTCAACAAAGGATCTTCAAAGGACAATACAGACCTTTTTGGAGAGATATATTTTAATATGTTTGAACACAAGTGTTGTAAATGGCCATAAGTGTGACATGGTTAGAAATGTTGAAGAAATGTACCCCAGACAGGGATGTTTTGATGGAGAGACAGGTGTTGAGCAGGAGACTGAAATGTGGACAGATAATAAAACACTCACACGTAGTAAGGGTGGTGTTACTGAGCCATCTGAGGCACAATAAGTCATATGGATCGACATTTAAGACATTGAAAAAAAAAAGACATTTAAGACCTTGGGTTTGGTTAGACATTTGAAACTAGACCAGGTGTGACAGGAATGTTAGTCTGCTGGGATCCGTAGTCTGCTAGGAATCGTAGTCTGCTGGGAACCGCAGTCTGCTGGGAACCATGAGTGAAACTGTAAGCATAAACTGCAAATGGATGCAATGTTAAAAACGAATTAGGTGGAGGAAGGTTGTAAAAGTAAACTGATTGCTAGGGGGTAACAAATAAAAGGAATATAATAACTGGTTTCAATGTCTATCTATCTAGAGACGTTGTCGTGAGAAACATAAAATATACAGAAAAAGATGGGGCGATCGAAAACGTGTTCATTGCCAAGGGAATCTAAATTAACTTGTTACATTTTGTCAGTAAATCCTCATTCACAACAGCGGACTAAATAGCCCGCGGATCAAATATGGCCGAACCTCTTAGGTGCTTGATGCGTAATCTCCACTGGGAATCTATTCACTGGCTATTAGGGGTTTAGACGTCAAGCTTTTACGTGGGTCGCCATATTTGATCTGCTGTTGTGGATGCGGCCTACAACTGATGCCAACGATTACATTAAAATACTGAGTATAAGAAATGTATACTTTTTTGGAATAGGCTCCCAGCTGCGGGCCTGCTATAAGCTCGTTATCCAAAATATTATACTATTATATGCCTTGTATGAGAAAATGACCAATTTTCCAAAACTGCAGTGTTTCGCTTGACTTGTTTGATAAACGTCATCTACATAGAAGATAGAACTTAATTAAAGCGGTTTATTATGCAGGCAATAAGGATTTGATTTGCAAAACATACGGAAAAAAAGAAACTTATGGCGCATTCAGTACATTAGATATGCGACGTCTTTGTTTTTTCCCCACATATTACCTTGACTCCTAAACAGTAATTAAAAAGCTCGAGATGAAAAAGAACCCACTACTAATGACAATAACAAGGAAACAAAACCGTCGTCACAGCCCACGGCGGGTGTGCCATCCAATATCGAGTCCACCCACTCTCAATTAACTTACTCCCCCTGTCAATTAAATTCCATCTGGTGCCAACTCTAGTCAGATATTTGTCATTTTCGACTGACTTTCTAGTACCTTCGTAATTTCTTGAAAAGATGACGTTCTTTATAGACTAAATTCCCACTATCAGCAAAATAAACAGTTACTATAAGTTTTTACATAACAAAACTCATATTAACGTAAGTATCCACAGAGGAGGCAGGTACCTATTCTTTTCATTCAAACAGCTGTCATCTGACCTTGTGCGAGATTGTGGAAAGACGAAATTGCCTCTTTAACTATTCACCGCATTACGCATGCGATTGGGACGACGGTGCTGTGTTTGTGTTTTAATTATGTCTCATCCTTCTAACTGGCACTGATGATAATCGATGTAGTGGGAAAAACGCCTCGCTAAAGTTTCAGTCCCAGTCCTCTTTTTTGCGGGGAGGGGTGTGTGAACTGTTCTACATTGTACTAATTCTGAACAGGGGGTAGTGGTGTCAAGAATAAAAGTCCTTTTTTCTTTAGGCCCTACAAGGTAAAATACGACAAAAAGCGAGTATTTTTTAAAGCATGGGTTTCTGTGTGGAACTTTGCAGTATCATTATGTTTATATTTTTTTGATTTTTGATTATTGATTGATTATTGATCCTGATCACCACCAAAAACTAATCATCTGTTCCATGGCCCACTTCTGACAGTTCCTGAATATTTCATCAAAATCGATGCATCACTTTTTCTGTAATGTTGCTAACAGATAGACAGACAGATAGACAGACAGACAAACTAACGGAACCAAAAACATAACCTCCTTGGCGGAGGTAATTAGCTTATATTAAAATAAGACACTTGGAACTGATTTGTTAGGTTTTTGGATATATATATATATATATATATATATATATATATATATATATATATATATATATATCCTTCAGCTGTATTGTTAAAATATTCTTAAAATCCCCCTCATTATAAAAATATCAGATTGTTTTTGATGAGAATCTCAGAGAGCAAACGGTTTAAGACAGTATTGACAAGGATGGATAAGAAGGAAGAGATTATAAGATTTTTCATCTGTAAAAAAAAATTATTTTAATTGCAATCATTAGCTCTATGAATTACTTGGTCTTTATCTTTCAATATCCTTGTCTCTCTGGTTTTATGCTTCAAGAAAGCTTTCTTTTCACATCAATGTTGTCAGGCAAGAAATGGGCTGTCAGCTTCAGGTCATGTAGATTCAGTTCGTACCATTCCAGGTCTACTTCACATCTGGTATCCCCTTTACATTATAAAGGTTATTCTATGTCTCCAAGAATTTTTTCGACTGGCGTACGGACAGCAATATGCTATTGTAATAAACTGACTCTGCCCGTTTTCTAGATGGTCCAATGAAAACGTGACACACGGGACACGTGTAAAATTGACGTCAGAATTAATATTCATCAGAACGTTCATTGGTCGTTTCTGTTCCGCCTCGATGGAAATTTAATGAACTTGAGGAATATAAAAATCTCTGCACTGACGACTGCCAAGAGAACTTGCCGAAAAAGCTACTCATTATGGATCGACGCCTTATGACACTGGCCGTGGCCATGGTGCTGGTTTATGTTGGCCCGAGGGCGACTGTAGTTGGCGTTGCTACTCCCCCACAGCTTGAAGCAAGGTTGGCACCTCATTTAGTCACAGAACCGTTGCCAGCAGGACCAGGCATACGTAAGTAGTAGCAACGGGGTTAATGCAGTTTGATTGTCGATGAAAACACAACGTAAGTTTTTGTCGCTACTTCTGTTATGCAGTGTTCACTATGTTTGCGACAACCAAAAATATGTTGCGCTTTTTGTATGGCAAGTGAGTGCGGAATACTCATTATGTTGTGAAATACAGAGATAAATACAAGATTAAATGGAGGCCTTCATCACTCAAATTTGATTATTGCAGTCAGTAGGGTATACCCTATAACTAGATTGGATGCATTTTTAAAAAGCCAACTTCAAAACTGAGTAAAAAGTTTTTTCTTTGCTTTTACACAGTAACCGCAGGCTTCAGAGGGCTATAGGATCGTTCCTATCTCTTTGAAAGTCTTTACACGTGTGGGGTGGATGGTGAAAGGCATAAAAAGAAATTATTTTCACATTTTTTTTTTACTTTTTTACTAAGCAGAACAAGACATTTAATTCTTACCACTGTTTTAACTATTTGAAGCTTAAATGCAAAAATTCATGCCACATAACATGTAATATTTACATGTAGAAGTGACATTCTCATTTAAAATTAACATTTTTATGTTTTTGTAGTTGATAATTCCACGTGTGGGGGACACGGCGATGTATATTACAACACTCTAGATAACAGAACCTTCACTTATCCTTCTCCTGTTGAAAAATACGGCGTTATGATCCTTCCTTGGATAGGAAATCCGTGGTGGGTGATGACTGAGCACGAGTTACATGGTGCACCAAATGCCACGCGCATCAAAGAAGTATACGTGAAGTGTCCAACTGACATCTACTTTAGGGCCACATTGGGGGGGCGTGTCAACTTATATGTGAGTCTTCTTTCTTACAGTTTTAAATACAATGAGCACCTTTTGCACCAACTTAATAACCATACCCCTTATCCCCGTTTCTCTAACAGTTGCATTCAAAATGTTCATTACACTTAGTTCATTGCACCATATTAAAAATATTTTTGCATTTTGCTTTCAGTATTGGGATGGCGCTGCATGGGTTCCAATCGCTACCGCAGGCCTACCAGCTAATTTCCCCCCTCCAGATGGGACCGCGTGGGTTTATGGTACACCGAAGTATTTCAAGATAGATTGCAATATGGCCCCATACATGTTCGTCACTGTCTATCGGCACAGAGTTGTCATACACGCGCACGGCGAGTGGGCCGTCGGTGGCCCTTATGCAGTACGTGGTATTTGCGCGGACTTCAATGGCAACCCGGGCAACGACTGTGTTGATTTGGAGGCACCTCCTCCTCTTCCGGCCTGGAAACCTTTCTTAATTTGAATCTGGGACAAATAATAAGTTCGAATGTTGACGATGATAACGAATACATGAACAAGGACAAACGAAACATGAAAAAGGACAGTGTAGGTAAATAAACACAACAAACCGGACTTAAACTCACAAGAATAGGGACAATGAACGCTGAAAATGAGAAACTCGAACTGCAATTTCACTTGTTTTACTTAACTGATTCTTGGATCTTTATGGGTTCTTTTTCATGCTATGATACTTATACATATATTCATTTTAGTAGTAGACAGGTTGCTTATGGCAAATTATTTGTTGGGCATATAATGTATGTGGCTGTGTAATATCTTATTTTTCCATAACATATGTATTGAAATGTAGACTAAATTAGTATTCGCATTTGATATATTACAGTGATTCAAATTAAAACAATTTTTTCCAGTTAAACAACTTTGAACGGACAGAATATTTGTGCTAAGTAAACGTGATATTTGGAGGCACTGTTTTCAAATTTGGAATTCTTTAAGGGAGCGACTTGATAGAAAATAGTGTACATTTTTAGGTCTCAATTATTTACCTTGGTATATACATATGTATTTATTAGTCTTAAGCAGTTTACCTAAGCTTCATTCTGCTCGCCATATTAATATTGGATTTTGATTAGAATGATTATTAAGTTATTAGTTATAGAGAAGGTTTATTTTTGTCCTGATCCACATTATTTTACCAAGGCAGGGTGTTTATGTGTGTATTATTACGGTGAAGACATATACGAGGTTGTGGTGGTATTTTCAAACTTTAACTTAATTATTGTTCTTTTATAATATATATGAGGGATTTAAGTTAATTGAAATTGAAATTTCATTCAAATGTGTTAAGTGAAAGGGTTAGAGAGATATTCTAAAGTTCTGTTTGCATATTTCAAATATACAAATGAGAGAAATGATAAAAAACATTGTGTTTATTAATGAGGTCTTAATCATTTCTTTCTTTTAGCTTTGCTTAATCTTGAATAAAAGAGGTTAAAAAAATTGTTGATGACATTTCTTATTTGTAAAGGAAATTGTTGAAAAAAAAGCAGTTTTAGCTATGTTGCAATAAGAGAAATGATTATTGCCGTTATGATCAACAACAACCAGGCAACGCGTGGGTCATGGAAAGTGACCCCATCGGTGCTCTGATTTTCAAATTGACTACGAACGGTCAATAATAATAATAATAATAATAAAATTTTAAAAAACTTAAATGACGTTGCACTGGGAGATGCGTTGGATAGGAGTGGCACAGTGGCAGATTCTGGGATATTGACCTTTATCTTTTTTAAAGAGATATTGGGAGAGTTGATGACCAAAGGGTTCAAATAATGCCGCATGTGGTATAATCACTGGTTCACTGGGGATCCCAGGGGAGGGGGAGGGGCGGCACCGTCGGAGATTATTTGAAGGGGGGGGGGGTCTGCGGATGCGAAGCGGGCCCCGAAAAAAACTGGAATTTTAGAGGGGTGAACGGTGCCGTTTGGTACCGTTTAGAACCATAATTCAGCTAGTCAAAAGTGTAATTTCAAGTGAAGGCCATTGGTGTGATCTTTCTCAGAAATTGAAGAGGGGGGCGGGTCAGGGGGTCCTAAATCCGCCACTGTGCCATGGGTGAAGGAGTTTGATTCAGTTCGTCTGCAAATTTACATATGAAAAAATTAATTGAACCCGACCCACTTCCTCCCGGCATCATAGTCTACCTCAGCAAATTGCAATTGTGCTGCAGGCCAATCAGTCTCCGCCAACAGACTCCGCAACTGCAGTACGACCTTTAATTGTGTTGTTTGTGTGAAATTAGGAATATAATCATTTGCACCACATTAAGAAGTTGACTAACATTGATTTATCAATATCTCAGACTGATTTCAGGCCTTTTTAAAATGTGATCAAGATGGCCGGTGGAAACGAGAGCGTCCAAATTTTGTCCTGGTATTGTAAATCATATTTTGTTTAACTAATTAAGGCCGATTTCACAATAGCTGATCCTTACACTAACACATACAACGTTGATCAGAAAGGTTGTCTCACCCCCAATTCNGGGGGGAGGAGAGGGAGACGAGAGGGGGACTGTAAAAACCTGGGCCCCGTAACTCGAAAGCATCGAGCGCAAGCGTCTCGATTCCATAACTCGCCCATACTCGCCCCATATAATACATTGTAGCCTCTATGTGATATCGCTATTCGCAATAGGCGATGCTTTCGAGTTACGGGGCCCTGGATCTGAATGTGGGTAGTTGTATTATTAAGATTAAGATACACTGTATCCGTGTTTATTTTATTCCCTTAATAACCAGAGAAGTAACCCTACATATACATAAACATATGAAACACTTTTAAAAACCTCCACGGTAAACAGCACTGCAACGTTCAGTTCAGCTGCTGTCAGCCTCGCAGATAATATTCCCTGACCACAAATATGTGAGCAAAGTCAAAGGTAGCTTATGATTTATATAGCTTAATAAAATGCATGGTACTGCTGTGTTCGATTTCATCAATATCCCCAGCAAAGGACGTCAACAAAGGGTCTGTCTTCAAAGGATAATTCAGACGTTTTTGGAGATTTATTTCAATACAGGTGTCGTTCGTCTTATATACTCATCGGAATATACCTCACATAACACTAACCTGTACGGTACTATATCACATCAGTTCCTGGACTTCCATTTCTAGGACTACCATGCCTGTCATACCGGTGATGCAGATTCTAGGGGTACAATTGTACACAATAGTCATGAGTGAAGCTGTAAGTATAAACCGTAGAGGGTCACCCATCGAATAGTTTACTTATACCCGTGTCATCAAATCGACAACGGTCATTAAAGGCAGCTCCTATACTAACACTAAAAATAGCTTTTACCCATCAGCAGTACGTATTTTTAATGAGTGTAATGGATTTTAATTATTATTCCATTTTATTTTATCGATAGATCATGTCGATTTCAATTTTACGCTTTTATGTATAAATATGACAATAAATTATTCTTATTATCATTATTAATGTTGAAAACAAAACATGTGTAGGGAGGTAGTAAAAGTAAACTGATTGCTGGGAGGTAAGAATAAAATAAATATAATAACGGGTTTTGATATCTATATTCAACTGTGTACTGACGTTGTTGTGGAAAAAAAGAATACGGAGGAAAGAGAGGACTTTTAGCACAGTAAAAAAAACCTATTCATAACCAGTGGCATTGGAATTACCTTGTTAATTTTTGTCAATAAAACAGATGTCTGCGATCACATTAAAATACTAAGTATAAGAAATGCATTTTTTTCTGGAATAGGGCCCTGGGTGCGGCCCTGATATAAGCTCCTTATCAAAAATATAATACTGTTCATCATATTCCTTATATGAGAAATGACCAATTTTCCAAAAATGCAGTTTTTCATTTGACTCATTTGATATACTTCATCTGCATTTAAGATAGAACGTAATTAAAGCGGTTTATCATGCAGGCAATAAGGATTTGATTTGCAAAACATACGGGCAATTAGAAACTTTTGGCGCATTTACTTTATCAGATATGCGACGTCTTTGCTATTTTGGAAACGTTTTCCCTCAGCTCTTAAACAGTAATTAAAAAGATTCAGGTGAAAAATAATTCACTGATGACAATAAGAAGAAAACAAGGCCGTTGTCACAGCCCACGGCGGGTGTGTCATCCGATGCTGAGTCCATCCACTCTCAATTAACTAACTCCCACTGTCAATTAAATTCCATCTGGTGCCAAATCTAGAAACATACAGGGTATTTGTCATTTTATACTGAATTTCTAGTGCCTTTGTAGTTTCTTTAATTTCTTTTAAAAAATAACATTCTATATAGACCAAGTTCCCCCTGTCAGCAAAATAAACAGTTATTATAAGTTTTAACAGAAGAAAATTCATGTTCATGTTAGTATCTTTTGAGCGCCTGGAGAGGCTGCTTATTTGAAACAGCTGTTATCGGACCTTGTGTGAGGTTTGTGGAAGGACAAAAGCCTCTTTAACTATTCAACGCATTACGCATGCGGTTGAGACGTTAGTGCTGTGTGCGTATTTTGATGAAGTCTCATCCCTATACTAGCTGGTATAATACTGTTCTATACTAGCTGGTATAGATGATGATCGATGTATTTGGATTTGGAAAAAAAAATACGCTTCGCTTAATCATCAATCCCAGCCCTTCTGTGTGTGCGCGTGTGTGTTGGGGGAGGGAGGGGGGGCTATGTCACTCTTATTCTGAATGGGTGTTTACGGGAGGTAGGAGGTGTCCTTTTGTGTTATGGATTTGTTAGGGTTTTTGATATTGTAGTTCAATATGTATGTGCATTAACATAATATTTTAAAAATTCCCTTTTTTATTGAAAAATATCAGATTATTTTTATTGAGAATCAATTTTCAATAACGGACACCGTATAAAGGCGTGGAGCAGACTGTTCAAGGGACAGTATCGATAAAGTTCAATCAAAGGATGAATTAGAAGGGGGGGGGGGAGGGGTGGGAGAGATTATAAGCGTGTTCCATAAGAAAATACATGTGCTATAATTTTAATTGCCATAATACCTTCGTCTCCCTGGTTTTATGCCGTAAGAAGGCTTTCTTCATATCAGTATTGTCAGGCAAGAAATGGGCTGTCAGCTTCAGGTCATATAGATTCGTGTCTTTTATGGTCTTCTTCGCTTCTGGTGGCCATTTTACATTACATAGGTAATTCTTTCTCCAAGATCTTTCAACTGGTGTACGGACAGAAATATACCACTGTAATAAACTTCTGACTCCGTCCCTTTTCTAGATAGGCCAATGAAAACGTGACACACTGGATATATGTAAAATTGACGTCAGAAGTTATATTAATCAGAACATCCATTGGTCGTTTCTGTCCTCCTCAATGAAAATTTAATGTACTTGAGGAGTATAAAAATCTCTGCACTGATGATTGACAAGATAACTTGCCGAAATAACTGCTCATTATGGATCGACGCCTTATGTCACTGGCCGTGGCCATGGTGCTGGTTTATGTTGGCCCTAGGGCGACAGTAGTTGGTGCTGCTACTCCCCCAGAGCTTGAAAAAAGGCTGGCACCTCATTTGGTCGTCGAAGACATGCCAACAGGACCAGGCAGACGTAAGTAATAGCAACGGGCTTTTGTCGCTACTTCTGTTTGCAGCGTTCACTGTGATTGCGACAACCAACAAATATTTTGCGCTTTTTGTGTGGCAAGCGAGTGCGGAATACCCATAAATGCAGAGATATAGACAACTTGAAATGGTCTTAAACACTAAAATTTTGATTATTGCAGTCAGTAGGGTATACCCTATAACTAGATTGGATGCATTTTAAAAAACCACCCTTAACGTGAGTAAAAAGATTTTCTCTTTTACACATTAACACGAGGCTTCAGAAGGCTACAGGATCATTCCCATTTCTTTGAAAGTCTCTGCAAATGTGGGTTGGAGGGGGAACGGCATTAAACAAAACAAAACAAAAAGAAATTATTCTCACCTTTTTCACTTCTTTACCTATCAGAACAGGAGAATTGATTCATGCCATTGTTTTAGCTATTTGAATCTCAAATGCAAATATTCATGCCACATTACATATGATATTTATATGTAGAAGTGACATCCTCAGTTAATATTAAGAATTTTGTTTTTGTAGTTGATGATTCCTACTGTTTGGGACACGACGATGTATGTTACGACACTCTAGATGGCTTGCGCTTCTCTTTCAATTCTCCTGTTGATATGTACGGCGTTATGATCCTGAATTGGACGGGTAATCCGTGGTGGGTGATGACTGAGCACGAGTTTTTTGGTGATACACTTAAAACGCGCATCAGCGAAGTATATGTGAAGTGTCCAGTGGACATCTACTTCAGGGCTACATTGGGACCGGTTATCAGCCTATATGTGAG